ATTTGGTCCTAGAAAATCATCTCCAAAGAGTGTCCAGCCTTGGGATTTACACTGGTGTCTTCAGTCTAGAGCCTGGGGGCTGGTGACAGATGCTCCTTTTAGATCCTATCTTGGTTGTGTGATTTCCTCCAAACACTCATTGCCAATGTTTTTCAAAACTCTCGACACTTTCAGACCTAACCCTGTCATGGACCAGTGGATCACTGGTCTGGATGACAGTTTGACCTTTAGACTTCCTTGTTGGTCCTGCTGACTGCCTCATTACTTCTAGATTATTCAGGAAGGTTCTTGGTGTTCATTCACCATCTCTAATTCTGGGAGTGGCCCTAGGGTGGCTCCTGCCTGTAGATCCCTAAACACAACTTTTGTCTTTGGAGATTCTCTTTACCTTAATCCAGTCTGGACAAACTTGCAGGCTTTCGAATGTAGCCTGCCCACAGGGCAGAGTCTGGCAAACTCCCCGTGGCCTACCAAATATGCCAAATACCAGTAACAATGATGGGTCTCATTCTCCTAAAGAGCCGTGAATATAATCTCAGGGCTAGGATGAAAGAGACGTTACTGGGGCCTGCTCGAGGCAATCGACGATTAATCCAGTCTAGCTTCCTTGGGGAAGTTCCTGGAGGGGAGAAAGGAGGAGAGTTAGCACTGGTAAAGTCTGCCAAGAGCATGTGCACTGCTAAGATGCTTAAGTTTCCAGTGGTCCCACAGAACAGCAGTCATACTGCATCTGAGGTCTACTTGGTCTATACTGCATCGCACTGATCCCCACCACCTGGGCTCCAGGGGAATCACGCAGGGGTGAGAGATTGCAGGGAAGGAAAGTCTTCTTCACCTTTGCCCAGGTTTGCCATCATCCCCCTTTGCAGAAAAGAGTTGTAGGAGGAGACAAAGTGAAGTGAAAGTTTTATTTAGGAAACGAGAGAGAAGAGGGTGCCCCGTGAAGTTAAAAGGAAGTAATTGCACATCCCAAGTTGCAATGCAGAGGATCTCGGGATGGGAACTCCAGATGCTTGCTTAAGCAAGGCTGATTTTATGGGGTTTTTTCCTCAAACTGTCCTGGCATGGGGCTCTCTCTCTGAAGATAAGGGACCACTGCTAGGGTATTGTCAAGGGCAGAGAAACTTTGACGTTTTAGTGGTCTTCTTTCAAATTCTTATTTTTGGGTTTTTTGTTCCTGAAGTTTCTCCTCTCGGGAGGGGGTCCGGCCTTCTCTAGGCTGGTGCTGGTGCCAGGTAGAATCTTATTTATCAGGTGTCAGTTTCTGCACCTCCAAAGAGGGTCCAGCCTTCATACTTTTGGACTGCTGTTGAGCCAATGACAGAGTAATTTATTTGAATAATATATTGTTTTATTACTTCCTGCAATCCATTCCCTGGGCCCCCCTATCTGTCACCTTTGTTTGCTTTCTTCACATGACACCTTTGTTTGCCTTCAAATATCTCCTTTTGGTGACTTTCATGTCTCCCACAGAACTCCGTATCTGGCTAAAGGCTGAAAATAGCAAAGATGTTTCTCTCTAGCTCCTCACATTCATCTGGGGTGGAGATGAGAAGCACAGTTAATTATTCGTAATCCAGACTCTAAGGTCGGAGCGCATGAGGTCTTTCCCTACTCAGCAAAGTGTTTTTGTGTCTGGTTTTGTTTGTTTGTTTTGTTTGTTTTAGGGGCTTGGGGGCCACACTCAGTGGTATGCAGGGGTTACTCCTGGTGGTGCTCAGGAACTGTATACGATGCTGGGAACTAAACTAAACCCAGGTTGGCTGCATGCAAGGCAGGCTCCCTGCCCATATACTATTGCTCCAGCCCCTTCAGTCTGGTTTTGGAACAGAGACTCATCTACTTTTGTTGTACACAGAGGGCTGTCTTTGACATTTAAGTCAAAAACTTCCTAGAAGCACCGTAGATAGTATGGGAACAAATGCCTGTATCTATTTCAAGTACTGAACATTATGGAGTATCATTTTTGTATCATGTAGGTATGTCTTACATAGAAGCGCAGAACTTAAGCATTTTGTTAGGTAGGAAGTAAACATAATATGCTTTTTAAGATTCACTAAAATATTTTGAATTCCTGGGGCCAGAATAATAGTACAGCAAGTAGGACATTTGTCTTGCACTCTGGCCAGCCTGGGTTCAATCCCCAGCGTCCCGTATGGTTCCCTGAGCTCTGCCAGGAGTGATCTCTGAGCACAGAGCCAGGAGTGAATCTTAAGTACTGCTGGATATGACCCCAAACACAAATAACTATAGATATTTTGAATGCCTGACTTAACATAACCATTCATAAGTCTGTAAAACTAGATTTTGAAATATGAACCATTGGTATTAATAATAGAGGTATTTTTTCTCTTAAAATAATTCGATAAATGTGCATTATTTTGTTGAAGAAATCACTCTAAATGACTGAAATACATTTAGTAATGTGTGTACAAAATACAAAGAGGAAAAAGCACAAGACATAGGAAAATTAAGGATAAGGTTACCACCAATTGTATGTATCAACTTCATCTCTTAGTCTGCTAGTGGGCAGAGAAAGTGTACCAAATTTAAAGGAAAAAACGTCACTGACTGTAATTCACAACTCTTTTCATTGCCCTAGGGTTCCTAGCTATTCCAGACAACTCTGTTCTTTCAGACTATTTGAGTTTGTGAATTGTCATATCCAATCATTACCTCTTTGAATCTTCCTGCTCCTTAGTCATTTTCCTTCCAATTAGCATCCCCAGAGGTTGAAGGAAAAAAGATGTGCAGGTAATCCTTGCCTATTTATTTATTTATTTAGCTTTTTGGGTCATACCCAGCAATGCACAGGCGTTACTCCTGGCTCATGCACTTAGGAATTACTCGTGGCAGTGCTTGGAATACCATGTAGGATGCTGGGAATAGAACCCGGGTTGGCCGTGTGCAAGGCAAAACACCTACCTGCTGTGCTATCGCTCCAGCCCTTTTATTCCTTTTTAAAAAAAAAAAAAGAAGAGGGAGGAGCGAACTCTGAGGGTTATGAGAATAGGACAAATCCCTGTAAATGATTCCAGAGCATCCCAGGTATTATCCCTAAGCACTGAGCCAAGAGTAAACTCTAAACACTTCCAGTGTGACCCAACCACCCTCTCCCCAAATCACAGTTTTTAGTTGTGAAGTCAACACATAGAAATAAAAGTTTGTTTTGTTTTGCTTTTTTCATCTGTCTGTTGTCAGTCTTCTCTAATAAAGGGAACATTTTTTCTGCAAAATCAACCTTTCCTTTTGCCCTGGTGACCAAATGGGAAAACTGTTGGGGAGGAGGAAGCCTGAAAATTACTCAGCAGTCCAACCAAATACATCAGGCATTTGTCACTTCCCTAACTATAGTCAAGGGTCTCCCTTAAATTCCTCTAATTTAGAGGCATGTCTTATCCATTGTTTTACCCTTAGTACCAGACATTGTGCTGCTTTGTAATATAATTAATAAACATAAGCATTCGTGCATGAACAAGATAAGCAGAGATCTATATTTGTGCACATACACATGAATGAGAGATATACAATAAATATTTCTAGTCCCAAAAGTCATCACAACTAAAGGAATTCATATAGCCATATTACTAATTTAAGCTTTTGGAGAATATGGGATAATCGTAAGCCTCAATACCCAAGGATCTACATGAGAAGCTAATTATTTTTTTAAAAAAAACTCTCTTGATGAAATATTACTGAACACATCTTTATCTTGAGATTATTTGAAAGAGTGCAGAGCATTAAAAACAATTGTTAAATGATATGTCAAATATATCAAACCAAAATAATATTATTTTCCTTTAAAATTACAATTTTACAGATTACAGATGGCAATTATACAAAATTACAGACACTGTATAAACAGAAAAATATTATAAAAGTTAAAATAAAAGTAATATTTGTGAGAAAAATGCATAGTGATATGTAACTATAAAATATCAATAGGTAGACAAAATAAAAGTGATGGTATAAGAAACAAAATAGTTATATTGGCTTAACCAAAATTAACTCTTTATTTCTCATAGTTTTAATGGTTTATAGGGCTGGAGCGATACCACAACAGGTAGGGAATTTGCCTTGCACACAGCTACCCCAGGTTCAATTCCTCTGCCCCTCTCAGAGAGCACGGCAAGCTACCTAGAGTATCCCGCCTGCATGGCAGAGCCTGGCAAGCTCCCCATGGCATAGTCAATATGAGAAGAACAGTAACAAAAAGTCTCACAATGGAGACGTTACTGATGCCGGCTCGAGTAAATCAATGAGCAATGGGAGGACAGTGCTACGGTGCTACATCCTTATCACAAGCTTAAGTAAAAGAAGGAAAGAAAATGAGAACAAAAGCTTTTATGTGAAGAATGTCTTTATAGATTTAGAATTTGTTTTAATTGTTGCCCACTGTCTTCTACGTCTTTCTTGAGCGGGCCCAGTAACGTCTCCATTGGAGACTTTGTTGTTACTGTGTCTGGCATATCGAATACTCTCGGTAGCTTGCCGGGCTCTCTGAGAGGGGCGGAGGAATCGAACTCGGGTCGGCCATGCTGGCCGCTTGTAAGGCGAACGCCCTACCCGCTGTGCTATCGCTCTGCGCCACACTGTCTTCTAAAATTGATTTTTTAAAAATATTTTTAATTTCCTATAGTAACTTTTAATAGTAACTTTGGTTTTACAAAGCGTGAATTTTCCAATATTTTAGGGTTGCAGTGTTACCACACTCACCAATATTCCTCCACTACAGCCCACGATATCTTTCTCCCCCCCCACCCACCACCACCACCCTGACCCTGTATGTAACCTCAGTTCTTTTGCCAGGATCTAAGGGTTTGTGTTCATTGGACATTCATTTGTTTCTTTATAAAATACGATTTTAAAGTCTCATTTCACAGACTCATGGGAGTTCGTTTAAGCTGTTTCACTTGCTACTAAGCATTGCTATTTTGAGGAGTGTGTTTCCCAGAAATTTATGTTCTTTTTTCCTTCTTTCCCACCCTTGTTTGCTTTAGGGATTGCTGTAGGAGTCTTGGTTCGAGAATACAGCAAGCTCTCTAATCTGGAGAAATTCTACTTTGCTTTTCCTGGCGAAATTCTAATGAGGATGCTGAAACTCATCATTCTGCCATTAATTATATCCAGCATGATTACAGGTACTTTCAGAAAACTAATGTTCTCAATGATTATTTAAAGAACCACCACTTAAACTGTTCTTTTCTAATTATGGAAAAGCATCTAAATGCGTTTGAAGTCGCACATGCGTACGCGTCATTTGAAAAATGTACATTTCCTTGAGTAGAACTGTTTCATTATTCCCGAAGGAGCACTGCTCTGCCTAGAGCACTGTCAGTATCTTTTTTTGACCATTCGTGGGACACCTTGAGAGGAAGATGCTGTTTTTAACATATTTTAATAGAACGCCCTCTAGGGCATTTTTTCCAAAGGCATATTTGGTTGTTAAAGCCTCAGCCAGTGCCCTTTGGTGAAGCACGATTGTCATATAAACTGGTTGGATGTGTTTTCCACTCAACACAATCAAACTTTGTTCTGCTCCCTTCTCAGTGGCTGCCTGCAGGGTACCACTGCCCCCTTTCAACACCCACTGCCCCCACAATGAAGAAGTCGTTACATATCTGCTCTGGAACTTTGCCCAGAGCATCAGTGCCCACTGCTAAGGGAAGTGTTCAATGATGGTTTTCTTGGTATTTTAAAATATGAACACGTGACTTGGTTGCCTTAGAAAATGATTTCTCCCTTATTGGTCATTATATTAGAGAGTCCCTTTAAAGAGCAAGCAATTGTAGGAAGGGAGTAATGTGATTTATAAAGACATCACCTGTTTGGGAGTGGTTTTTCTATGAAGTCTCTGGTTTCTTTTATTTATCTTATTTTTGGTAGTGGTATGTGACACAACAGACACTAGTTGTGTCAGCTCCCAAATCAAGGTGCTTAATGCTCAGTCTCTGCAGTACCACAGAAGGAACATGGGACTGATCTATGCAGTGTCCTGGACACTGGCTAGGGGAATGGCACTGAGTAGCAGGATCTGCTCTGGTCAGCACCTACAAATTCTGGAAGAGCTAGAAATTTGACTGTCAAATTTTACAAGTACCAGATTCCAACAAGACAAGAATCCTCCAAGACTCCCAATGGTGTGGGTATTCCTGATTATTTAGAAACTAATAGAGAAGTATATATATATATATATATATATACTTCTCTATTAGTTTATATATATATAAATATATCACGATCACGATCATCCTGTTGTTCGTCGATTTCCTCGAGCAGACACCAGTAACGTCTCCTTCTTCCTAACCCTGAGATTTTAAAAGAGCCATTTCAGTGCTCTTTCAGGATTAGGAGAATGAGACCCCTCGTTGTTACTGGTATTTGGCATATTGAATATGATACGGGAAGTTTGCCAGACTCTGCCGTGCGGGCAGGATACTTTTGGTAGCCTATATATATATATATATATATATATATATATATTGTATAATATGTAGATGTATGTATACATGTGATATATATTTTATATAAATAAATATTTATATTTATTTTAAATAAATATATTCAGTTTTGAAATGTTGGGCTTTTTCCAGGTCTAGCAGCCTAAAGGCCAAATTTGGCAGACCAGTTCTTTTGCACCATATACTGTTTATTTGCTTGTTTATTTAACTTTAAATTATCCTAATCATTTAGCATTTGGAAGGTCTCAAATAAACATTTGGATTTCTAGTTTCTCTGGGAAAAAAAATAAGATGAGGAAACACTAGATGCATGTCACCACCCGCCAACAATATTCTGGAACTAGCTAAGAGTTGGACAGCTACTCATTTTAATTGCAGCCAGATACATCTGAGGTTGCCACAGTCTCCACCAGGCCCTCTTGTCTCAACCCTCGAAGTCTTCACTTTACCTATTTGCCCCTGTAGTCTTTGCACTTCGAATCCCTTAGAATTCTTTCCATATCAGAAAGCTTAGTCTTTTCTTAGGACCCTTTAAGAAAATGAGAGAGGGTCAGCGATTGTGTAGCTGGTAAGACACTTACTTGCCTTGCACACAATGATCCAGGTTTGATTTCTAGTACCACATATGGTTGCTGGAGAACTGCCAAGAGTAGATGTCCCGGAGTACAGATCCAGGAGTAACCCCTGAACACTGTTGGGTGTGGCCCTGGAAACCAAAAAGGAATATGCAGAAAACTGGACTTTCTCCTATTTTTTTCTTCCAGAACTCATGCAGAAACTATGTTGAGGAACAAAAGAATAAAAACAAGCCCAAATGGTTCAAGGAAAATACATTTATGGATATCTTAATTATATTAGATCTTTGGAATTATGTACTGCTCTTAGCAGTTAAAAGCTCGTGATATTTTTGTTGTCTGGCCCTTTGCGAAGTGACTCAGTCTTGCACATAATCCAGGACAATAATTTACAACCCTCATCATTCCACTCACATGGCTCAGCTGCTTTGCGAAGGCATAATACAGGTCAGGTAATTCTACATTTTTCCTCCACCAAGCACCCAGCATATAAATAGAAGTTAGAGCAGAACCACTGCACATTGTTTGGACATGGAGCAATAAAATCATCTGTAGCACTGTCCTCCCATTGTTCATCAATTTGCTTGAGCAGGCCAGTAACGTCTCCATTGTGAGACTTGTTGTTACTGTGTTTGGCATATCAAATACGTCATGGGTAGCTTGCTAGGCTTTGCTGTGAGGGCGAGATACCCTCCATAGCTTGCTGGGCTCTCCGAGAGGGGCTGAGGAATTGAACCTGGGCCGACCGGGTCGGCTGGGTGCAAGGCAAACACCTTTGAGTATAATCAGGGTGGAGACAGTGATGCCATCTCCATGTTTTGTAGAGGAGATTAAAAGTAAAAGGTAATAATACTAGTATTGGCAAGGTCATGGGAAAATGGGAGCTTTCACACATTTTTGGTTACATATAATCAAAAGTATAAGATACAAATTGGAACAAATTTCCAGGAAGGCATTTAAAATCATGTGCTATTCTATCCACTAAGTAATTCTACTTCTTGAAATTTGTTATCATAAAAAAAAAGATATGTTCAAAGATGTGTGCACAAGCATGTTCTCACATTTTTCGTAATGGTGACAAAATATAAGCAATTCAATTGTATGTAATTATATATAATTGCATGTGGCTACAAGAATCTGTGGGCTGGAGCGATAGCACAGAGGTAGGGCGTTTGCCTTACAAGCGGCCAACATGGCCGACCCGAGTTCGATTCCTCCGCCCCTCTCGGAGAGCCCGGCAAGCTACCGAGAGTATTCGATATGCCAGACACAGTAACAACAAAGTCTCCAATGGAGACGTTACTGGGCCCGCTCGAGCAAATCGATGATCAACGGGAGGGCCTTTACCTTTACCTTTACAAGAATCTGTCTTACTATCAGAAGCTCTTTTCTGAAAACACATGGAACAGGTAGAAATGTTTCTAACAGTATAAAACAGGAGGATAAAACAAATTGCACCATGGAATTTTGTGTCTAAACTCAGTAAGGGAGAAACACTTGCCTTATAAATGCAAGACCTGGAACTGGAGCGATAGCACGGCGGGGAGGGCGTTTGCCTTGCACGTGGCTGACCCGGGTTCGATTCCCAGCATCCCATATGGTCCCCTGAGCACTGCCAGGAGTTAACTCCTGAGTGCAGAGCCAGGGGTAACCCCTGTGCATCACCAGGTGTGACCCAAAAAGCAAAAAAAAATAAATAAATAAAAATAAATAAATGTGAGACCAGGGGTTCAGGCTGTGGAGCCACCCAGATGTACCAGGCACAGTTTTGGCAGCAGTACTTGTAGGATTCCAGTTCAAGGACACCACCACCTCGCCCCTATCACGTGGCCTGCCTGTGAACAGAGGTAATAGGATTCTGCATGAACTGGAATGTAATTCCTTAATGGGAGAAAAAATTAAAAACTTAAAAAAAAACCTACTTAAGGAGGAAAAAAAGCAAAACAGGTAATGATGCAGGTCTGGCATCATGTTAATGAGGAAAGTTTGAATCTAGATGAATGGTATCAAGAGCTGATGTGGAGGGATCCAAGATGTGGCTCAGGGGGTCCAAGATCCCACCTATGCGTAAGATCGTAGGATACATTCCCGGCACCAAAAAAGAGAAAGGATGTTAATAATTTTGTTAGAGGTGACAATAACATATGGTTATGTAAGAAAACTTCTCTATTTGTTAAAAACAAAAAAAATACAACCAGAATTATGTGCGAATGAAATGACATAATGTCTGGAATATGCTTTCCAACAAGGAAGAGAAAGGAGGTGCCATAGACACAATCTCAAGGCATTTTCAAAGACAGACTGTGTAGTCATGAGCAGAATTCTAACCATAATTTACATCCTCGGGACATGCTCATACCACACATCTGAATATCTGTTTGGGCGCTGTGAACATTTAGGTCTGGAAGCTGTATTTAGAGCAAACCACCCGGGAAATTGCAGGGAAAATGGTTTATGAACGTGACTGAGAATTGTGGCACAGGAAAATCCTAGTCCAGGTGTCATCAGCCAGTACGTTTAAATGCAGGTCACGTTTTTTTAATACGGCGGTTATGAGGACTTGAGCTTCTTCCATCCACAGGAACAGAACAGCCCTTGGCTCCTTCTTCAGAGTGTCCCTGGGTATCTTGTCAGGATGCCGTCAGCCCCATGCTCAGGGAGAGGTCCTTCTCCCACTCTCCTCCCTCATTGCCTCCACCTCCCAGTCTGATGCCCTTCACTGCTCCCTCCCTAGGTCTCCTGTGGCCGATGTCTCCTTGAGGGGTTCCTCCTTGACTCCTCTAGCCTAAGACAGGAGCAGGAATTTGATTCTTTACTTTTATCATTTTTTTTCTTTCTTCTTGCATTCTTTTTTGGTTTGGGGGCCACACCCTGCGATGTTGAGCAAGTACTCCGGAATCTATTCTCCAAGATCACTCCTGGGGGACCATTCAGGGTGCCAGGCATTGAACCTAGCCCCTATTCTTTATATCTTATCAAGATCAAATGGTTATTTGGAACAAAGTTTTAGGAAATATAATGGGCTAAAATACAGTGAAAACAGAACTGGAGCAACAGTACAGTGGGTAAGGCACTAGCCTTGCACATGGCTGATATGGGTTGGGT